CTTTTAGCCGTCACTTTCCTGAGCAAAGCTCAATGTTTTTGACTAAACAGGAAATAGACAGGGGCAACAAACACAATTTAAACAAAAGCCAGTTACACAATTTGTCAAATCACATCTTGATGATCCCTCAAGACTTTTGTGAAATTAGTGCATAGTTTTGAAACAGTTTTTATAACCTCTGTATTTTTTATTTTATTTTTATTTTTTATTTTTTTGGTACCAGGAATAAATAGATTGCTGAAGATCTCCAGAAGCTTTGGAACCTGATTCTGTTCCCACCTTGCATTTAAATGTCTCCCTTTGAAATCAATGCAAATTGCATCCATCTGCCCAGGCCCTCCGCCTCCCACACATCAGGATGACCAGCTGGTCTTCCCATCAGGTGCAGTGCAATGCTAAATGGACACACACACAAGCTCAAAGTTCTCCTTGACGGCTGCTGTTTGTGTTACATCACGGACGTTGTTGTTCTCTTGAAAGAGGAACAGACTAGCCTTCTGTTCAGGTTTGATATCGATTTTACTTCTCCTCCTCTGATTTTCAACATCCTTCTTTGCTTCCTCTCTTTTCAACCTGGCATTCAAAGAGTTTTTTTTTTTTATTATTATTATTATTTCACTGAGAGAGGGCAAACAAGCATTAGAGGGTTAGGTTAGAATTACCCAATGCCCAGAAAAAAAAGATCTTTTCAAGTGTTTTCATAGGCACTTTAAATGTTACTGTTTACACCCAGAAATTCTGCGCATGAGCACAATGCTGGAGGACAAACAGACGATTCTTTTGTCAATCGTAGCCACTCAAGTAGGTATTATTAATTTAGATCATCGTTTTCAGGGGATCACAAAAAGTATCACAATGTGTGCCTTTATTATTGTCCCCTTGGGAAAATGTTTTCTTGCAGCAAGGTGGGAGAAAAATAAAATTTAAACACAAACACAGAAACAATCACACAAAAACAATGACAAATCAACACAAACACATGTTGATCCATAATGCATGATGGTGCCAGGACAAGAGCAGACCTGAACTCAGAGAAGGAAATTTGCTGATGAAGTCAGTGATTCACCTCTTCCTGATTTTTCTGTTTTCTACACAGCTGCGCATTAAAGACTTCTCTGATTGTCCGCAGGAATACGGGGACATTTAGACAGCCCTGCATAACGGAGCAGTTGTTGCTTGAGCTGATTTCTTAAAATATCGATGCATTTTAAAAGTGTTGCTGCTGCGGTGGGACTTCAAGGGAGAAGCACTGATGTTATAGCTTGTCGTGCTTATTCTATTCACAGGCACACAAACTTTATTCAGTAGGCAGCACTAAAAGTGTAACTTTTAGTCCACACTCTGCACAAAATGTAAAAGTTTTCTTTTTTTAAGATTTCATTGGTATTGCATTATTTTCACCAGTTTTCTTATGCATTACAAGCGTCACTGTTTTGGTCACTGATCTCCAGGGATCCCCCTTCATGAGAGAGCGTTCTCCTGAGTTTCACTTCTGCCTGCCTGCCACAGGTGAGATATATTGGAGCTCATCAGCCGCTGCATGAAGAGCTCACTCTCAAAGTATCAAGTTCTCATGTTGAAATAGCCTGTTAGAAAAGTTTCTGACCAATTAGACTTGCGAGTCTATCAACTTTTTTGACCCACAAAGAGTTAGTAGGTTGACTGTGCATTCATTGTTATGTTGAAGAAGCCATCAAGCAAAGACCTCACCATAAGGTCGCATACTATTTTAAGCGAAAATGTTAAAAGTACAGTTTGTGAAAAAGAAGTGTGCGGTTCATTTCAACAAAAGGAGAAAATAAAAGACAAACATAACTACTGTGAAAACACTGCTGTAATACAAACAGTATGTTCTTGGTATAGAGAACATACTAAATGTACTTTCAGTGACCTTCTCAATTAACAAGTGCAATCTCTATCCCTCTTCTTCTGTCTTCTGTTCTGGTTTCTGTAATGGTACAGCGGATCATGTTGCATCAACACTTGCAAATCATTAGTTCAACAAGCTACAACATGAGAGGAACTCCCACAACTCTTAACTCAGGATGTCTTGTTTTGGTTGTGGTACTCCCGCTGTCCTTCATGTTATGCCAGGGGCCTTCGTCCTACAAACTGCAACCTAAAAGATGCTGAGCAGACACTTGAGGTGGATGAAGAAAAGTGTATTTTGGAACATCCTAAGTGGAAAAAGGAGCATTATCACAGATCCTTCCTCGCAGCAACTCTGAGACTTTATAATCTTTATTGCTCTCAACAAACTCAAACACTATAAAAGTTTGCATCCCTGCTGTATCTTGCAGATTTTTTTTTTTCCTTCCTTGTATACAGAATTTCAAAATGCTTTGAAAGAGACAAAATCTCATTACCTGTCAAATATCATATGCAACAGCACTAACTGTGTTAGGGTTATATTCAACACAACTAAATCTATTACAAGCCTTCCCAATGGCATAACATTACCTGTGAAAGATTTATTCAGGTGCACCGATTGCAGTTTTCTGGACAATTACCAATTAAGAAGCCTGACCTGCTGATTCAGATTTAGGCTGATACCCATGTTCTTTGTCTGAAACATGGCTAAATATAGCAAGAAAGTCAGTGAGTTGGCAACAATGGGGTTACTATTGTTAACTGCAAATATGCAGACATGACCTGGTGGTCCGGTCTATCAGTCAAACCTCGCTCACAGGAGAGTAGAAAGGACAGTGGTTATTTTTTAGACGTTTGCCGAGGTAGATAAGATCGTGGGATAAAAACCAGCTTCACATGTAAATTCTGGCCGATCACCAATTTCCCAAACTTACGGAAACCGTCTGGCCTATAAACCATCATGCCAATAAAAGAGTGCACCTTTACTGCTCACTGCTAAAGTGACTTTTCTTAGAACATTATGACCTGTGTCATTGTTCCTAACATCAACTACGTCCCTCCTATGCCATCTGCTATCGTTGAGAGTTTTATCCGTTTTCTCACTCTCTGCGTTAAGCTAGGCTCTCACACACACATCCACACACAATTATTCAAATGGTTGAAGTTCATACAAACACACGTTTCTGTTCCACCAATGTGGCCTGTCTGCTTTGATGCCAGATGCAGTCTCGATTTATTAAAGTCTATCACAGTTAGGACACCATCTTGAAATATCTTTTTCTCAAAGCAAAATTGCCCTGGCATATAGAGGCAGTAAGCTTCTCCATATGGTGTGCTTGAAATGCCAAGAAAGGACTCGAGGGGAAAAATAAACATTTTTTTATAGCTCATTACTGAGTCTGTTTATCCACTACACATTTTCTAAAACATTTAATCGTCAAAATAAAACATCAGGTTTACATTTTGATATGTAAACAATCAATATTTAAAGTTATGACTGATTGTGGATTTTTTTTTTCTAAATTTACTTTCAGTGGCCTTCTCAATTAAAGTAAAATTATTTGAAAACCTTCAACTTGACATATATTGACAGGCAGTCAGACAAAACCTTATTTGAGTTTCACACCTTTTATTTTTGAAGATCCACCAAGGTGGGTGGAATAAAAGGTTATTTTGACAGGACATCTGGCCCAGCACAGAAAAGCATGAAGGGACCTGGACTGTGACAAGTTAGATATGAGATTAAGTATATACTACATTTGTTTTCAGTTTATGCACTGAAGTCTCATGTTCAAAGTTGCCAAAAAAAAAAAAAAAAAAACTACATTTACACTAAATTCAGTCATTCACTCACTGATGGTCGCAAGCTACTCCATAGTAGCCACGGCTTCCCTGCATCAAGGGCCCTCTGACCACGACCAGCAGGCAAGGCGGGTGAAGTATCTTGCCGATTGGAGTGGGAATCAAACCAACAGCGCACTGATTTATGGACAAACTCCTACCACCTTCACCACCATCGTCTTACGGATGAGCTGTGATTAGGTTGTGCCTCTGAATATCATGCAGGGAGGAGGTTAGCTGGAACTGAGAGGCTCTTCTGATATGCATTCATTATAAAGCTATAATGGTTCATCAGAGCTTATAGGTAAAAGTCATACATTTCTACAAATGCTACAATGAAGAAGGAATAAAACACAGTCTGTAAACCAAGAGGGCCTGTTTAGAGCCTCTACTGCAATCCTGATGCAATGTTTTCAGTGGCAGGAGAACAAACAGGCATGTGATGTTATACTCCTCTTGAACTCGTGCTCTACTGTCTGAGCCTGTAACTACAAACTGCGACACTAACGACAAAAGAAGATGTTTCCACAGCATAGTCTGCACAGCTTCAATGCACATCAAATGTGACTCATCAGTAACTTTTGTCATGTGAAACAACAATGGCGAAATTGTTTAATATATTACTTGGCAGTATTTGCAACAGCATTCCTAATTTGTCACACTGTCACATTAAAAATGCAGACATTTAATTTACTTTAACTTAGTTGGGGGGGGGTTGTGCCATTTAAAGCTTGAATGTTGTGGCGTGCAAATATTCAGCTTTATTCTTTGCAAAATTACCGTTCACTTCAAATACAACTGCAAAAACCAAAGTCTCGTAACAGATTGGCAATTGAATGTGGGGGTAAACTTTGGCTTTGCCATTCTGACACATCAATATAGAATAAAGGGACAGTATTATGTGTTTCACAGCCCCATAGTATTATTTATAGCACAATGAAGTTACCTTTTAATGCTATATATCAAATGTGGCTTAAAAGAAATTTGACCTTGTAATTTAATACCTTGAAATTGAGCCTCTGTCCCTTCAGGAAGTTATAACAACGTTGATCATCCTCTATTAACACTTTAACAATTCTTAGTCTACACTCTGCACAGAATGTTAAAGTTTTCTTTTTAAGATTTCATTGGTATTACATTATATTCATCAGTTTTCCTATGCGTTCATCAGTGTTATGGTCTCTGATCTCTCAGTATCCAAGCTTTCTCCTGAGTCTCAGGTCTGCCTGGCTGCCACAGGTGAGACAGTGAGATATATTCCACCTGTGAAATCTTCAGCTCTGAGGAGGAGCTTCGTCCTTGAACCTGGCGCTCCGTCCACCCAGGCGTTTTGCACAGCTGAAAGGTTGCCACAGAAGATTCAAGAATTTCTCAAGCATGCATGAAAGAATCAAAGCAACACTCCAGGTATGTTCTGGACAAGGGAATAAAATTGACCAAAATTTGTCAGTTTTAATATAGAAAAAAGTATCTTTCATAATATTGCCCCTTTAACCTAAGCAAGTCTGTTGTAGCTGTGGCTGTGTATTGAATGATTGTCCTTGAGCCTCAACCCTCCGTCTCATTGCCCTGAAATTACCGCTATCCATCCTCTCAATAGTCTCTGATCCTGCAGAAGAAAACAATCCAGCACCATGATGGGTTCTTTTATGCTCTGCCACATACTGCTTTTACAAGTGGGACAGATATTTTCATTTTGGTGTTTTCTAATCAGATCACATTTTTCCCACATTTCTTGTGGCACTCTACAAACATAACTATGCAGGGCTCGCTCTGAACGGCGGCTTTCTTGTTGCCACTCTTGTATCAAAGCCAGATTTAATGAAGCCAGCGCATCTAACAGTTGTCCAGTCACAAACTGCAGATTTCTGCAGCTCCTCCTGAATTATGATGGGAAATTATTAAAGAGGTGCAAAAAACTTGCTCATGAAAAAGCAGGTGTTTGTCTTCTCTGATCTGGTATTTTATGTTATAACACAATCATGCTATGTCAAAACTGTGACAGTGTCTAAAGTTACAAATAAAACTACCAAAGCAAAACCATACACGCAAAGCAGATGTGGGTTTCAAACTGGAGATTCTGATCCGAATAAAACCCACATTTTTGGTGACAGTGAGTGAACTTTTAACTTTTGTGCATAACAAGACGAAAGGCTATTATGATCTTTTAGTCAGTTTATCAGTCTTGAAATGCTCAGAGAAAGAAACGGGCTGGATTTGGAAGCACTGAAACAGAAACAAGTGGGATTCTGAGAGATGAAGAGAAAACGGGGCAGGAGAAAATGCTTTAGACTGAGTAGTTTGGGCCACTCTGAGGGAAGATCATTTACAAGGCTGGGGAAAGACGCAAGTTTGAGTCAAGCTCAGGCAGTTTGTTTTGTGCAAAAAGGCAAAAAAAAGTGATGTAAGGCAATGTAATGTAGATATCCACCCACACAGCACCACACAAACCCATAAATTCTTTACTTATGTCCATATCTTCGGCAAAACATCAAGTCTAAAGATCACAGAGAGGAAATGTCTGCAAAATGCTGCAGTTTCTGCAGTGGCACATGCCAATATCTGTTTAATGCATCTGAGCACATGCTAACCAACACTGACACTACTCAATCAGAATCACAATCAATCTTTTCCTCATCCCACACACATTCCAATATTGCCAAACTATCTACTATAAACAGCTGTTTAGGCCTCAGTGTGATCAGATCTGCTCTAAAGAGTGTCTGCATCATTTAGGAGGAAAGTCAGTTAAAGTCCCCGGCTTTCGCTTTGAGGTTTATGACCCAATACTAACTACGTCTGTCAAACAGAAAAGACAGATTTCTCTAAGAGATAAAAGAGAAGTTGCTTCATCTGTGGAAATACGTGCCTACCTCTATTTCTCCAAGAGAAAGGGAAAACTTTCCGTTGCTTTCCAATATCCTAATCTCACATTTAAAAATCATAACTTTATTAAAATAGACCAACGACTCTCTTTTAACTTGGTGTATAAAAAAGAGTTACTGTAATAGATCATGTGTGTCACTTTAGATTCATGAAAAATGTATTCTAATTTTAGATGCATTACAGGTCTGATATATCTAAAAACTAAAAAGAAATGCAGAACTGTGAGTGCTGTCTGTTTACCTCAAGCTAATCAAGATAACTCTTCATAAGGTGAAGAGATGAAAACGAAGGAGAAGGAAGCATGAAGGCAAATGTCACACAGAGTCAAGGAAAACCTTCTCAAGCTAGTGCTGTGGCGTAATAAACTCTCCCAAAGATATCCAAATACCATGCCTTAATTATCTTATCAACATATGCCTCGAACATCAAAGTGAGCTTTTCATTAAAACGAGAAGCACACTCATGGCCTTTTTGCCTGTCTCCCGTTCAGGAGTGGTCTAATCAGCTAACTTTCATCAAGATATTTTGCTCCTCCATAAACTTGGGGCAGAACTGGAAACTTTCCCTTTGGACACTTGTTTACCATTAAAATAAGAGGTGCATGTAGAGGGTAAGACATTCAAAACCATTTATTCATTGTGCCATAGGAGAAGACAAGTACGATTAGTCGATTGGAATAAACTGTGTAAAATTAAAACCAGTTGTATATGAGCGTCTTTCAATTCATCCATCAACAACAACTATCACATCAACTACCATCATTTTAACCAAAATTACGAAGCAAGTAAGAAAATGTAATTCACGTAGCACCTTTCTCAAGCAGTTGTCACAAAGTGCTTCACAGTAAAAATAGCAACAACAACAAAAAAAAAACAGTAAAAACACAATGAGAGAAACATTTAGGGAACGCTAACGTGCTAAACCGAGTGTGAGGGACAATAAGTGGTTTCTGCTCTGAAGATCTCAGACAACAAGCTGAAACCTAATGCTGAATCAAATCACAGACATAGAGAGGCGCCTGCTCATGCTGAGCTCTGGATTTCATAGTTCATGTAATAAACTGCAGGAAGCTGGTGAGAAGATTTTCAGACAGGAGTATAATGGGAGCTCTCATGTGCTTCAGGATCCTCATACTGACTTTGCTAATAATTGCCTTTGGCACTTAGCAATAGTTATTCACAGGCATACAAAGCCTATTTTTGCATTACAGTTACCTTTGTCATCCTTTGAAGACTTTCAGACTTCTTCACATAAACTGCAGTTTCTATAGTCTAATTTCCAACATACTGACTCTTGATGATATTATATACTCAATCTGCGTTGCTAATAATGTAAGTAGTGCAAGAAAGGTAAGTATTGCTCCCCATGCATGCGTTTTTGGACACTTGCCCCCAAAGCAACTGCATACATGGAAGCATTTCCATATCAGTGACAAAGAAAAATGCATACACTCGGACAGTTTTCAATTTGAAGCCTCCAGACACCGCTCTCATGCAGAGTGAGACTCTCTTTATAGGTAAATGTAATTTGTCAAAGGCAGATGAATTTATGAGTAAGCTAACAGCATCATTAACGGCAGAAGTTTTAGTTGTACCTTTCTGTGACTCTCTTTGAAAAAGAGACACTGTCACAAGTTGGTTGTCTGCAGTTCAGCTAGAAAGCAATTTGCTGTCAAAGATTGGTTCATTTGAATAAAATTTCAAGCCCAAACAGACAAATTAATACCTATAAAAAAAACTCCAGAATTAGCATAATGCTGAGAGAGAAAACCGTGTTTTTCTTCTTATTGTCTCATTAATCACTTTAACACCTTTCAAAGTTCTCTTGCCAACTCTCGGAGGTCATAACCTTGAGGCTGCAAACAGCATTTTAGAATAGAAGGAAGAAGCAAAAAGCAATAGGAAAAATAACAGGTCTGCTCTTCACTAAATGTTTCCAATTTTATTCTGAACATCGATAATTTAGACAAAATTGACAAGACCATGAAAACTTAAATCCAATTTGTCTTTTGTTTCAAGTTCTGAATGTTAAGTTCCTTATTAATAGGTCAGTTATTGATCTTTGGTGCAGCAAAAAAAAAAAAAAAAAAAAAAACACACGACAACTTTTGTTTGAGTTTCTCCTCTGCAAGGTTAGGCTTTTGATTTACAATGCACCCTGTCCCTTCCGCCGTACATCCGAATAAGGAGGCTTACTGTTTGTGTGATGTGTTTATTAATGAGGCATGTTTGTCAGTATGTGAGCGTGGGTGTGTCACTGTTAGACAGCTGATGAGCTTCCTCATAGACGGGGAGAAACTGTGACAGTGACTGAGAGGAACGTCTTTAGGCATTCAGCTCTTTGTCTCCTGTCGGATTCCTGAAATAATTCATTCCCTGTGTGTCCTGTAGAGGGCCCTGTTGCACTACCTCAATAAACAGATCCATGAGATTGCATTTCCTCTTCAAGGCTGCTCTGGCAAGGTGATATTTTAGTGTTTTTTATTTATTTTATTTTTTTTATTGGGAACAAAGGCAGGCTTTAGGCTCAAGGAGATAAAGAAACAATGACTAAAGTTTTAAATTAGTTAACTGACCCAAACCTCTGAATTTCAAATTCATAAGTGTTGTTGGGGTTTCATGAGTCAAATTTCTGCTAGGAAAGGATTTTTATTTAAAAAAAAAAAGACTCAGTAAGCCACTGAGGTTGCCACTAACAATATTGTTTGTTTGTTTTTTTTACCCATCTACTGATTAACTTTTAAATTAAGCAATTAATTTACTAGTTAAAAAGTTATTTTATTTTATCTTAAAACTATTTTAACTGAAATAAATAACTATTAATATTAATGTTATTAAAAGTACTTAGCCCCAGTATTCCGATTTTTTATATTATAAGACTGATTTAGACAGAAGTGAACAAAACTAGACATTTTCATGGTGTCACAGATGACATCAGTTATTCACTGTAGTTCCAATTATATTATTGGGATGAAAAGGTCAACTTACAATAAATAACCAAAAAAAAGGAAATAAAAAAAAAATATGTAAATTAATGGGGATGTAGTTAAAAAATATGGCAACACCCAAAAACAAAAAAGAACAGACCAACACAAATGCACTTTTATTTGTTCACGAAAAAGGTAAAGGTAAAATAGGAACAAACCTGCTCAGTTTTGAGAAAAAACATGCTCTGTCTTGCAATGTTGAAAGCACTGTTTCAATTTATCAAACTGCCACAAAGAAACAGAACGTAACATGGAATTATTTACAAGTTTTGCTAATTCGATTTTTATGTGACTTCTTCACTTAATGTTGTACTTAATGCAAACACTGACCAAGAAGATTACCACTTTTGCAAAGAGTCTGCATTTTTCTTTTAGTTGTTAGCAAACCCTCCCACCCTCCTCCCCAAAAAACATAAATTTACCACACAATGTTGACATGTGCAAATGTTTAAGCCAGATCTTGTGGAGAAGTCCGAGTCGTGCAAAGTCTCTGAACCATGTCTGAACTTTCACAGTTTCTCTTCTCGGGCATTTC